ACCTAAGCTTTACGATTTTTTTCTAATTTTTTTGGTTCAAAATTAAAAACTGATGAAGATTTAAAATAGTGGAACCATTTTGGAATATATTTTTAAAAAATATGACTGGAGAGAGAGAGAGAGAATTTTACTTTAAAGAGTGAAAATTGAGTCAGTTTAAAAAAGAAGTGGCTCAATTTTCAATCTTAAAGAGTGAGATTTCACTTTTCAGAGTGAGCTTTTATTTAAAAAATTTTAGAGAACTTGTTTTATAAAACATTTTCAAATATAATATTTACATGATTGTAGTAAAGATTTTAAGAAAAAGTAGCTTTTAGGTCATATTGGGACACACTTTATAAAAGTTGAACATTGAATTACTTTATCTTCCATTTTTCTAATATTTCTTTTACGAAAAAGAGGAGAATATATACTTAGGTTGTATTGGGTACTTACCCACAAACACCAAGTAGAGCATATTGAATATATTAGACCGTATAGAGTCCGGTTATCTCATTCATATAATGATCTGTTCTCCTATTTTGTTCTCGATTCTCTTACAAAACTAAATAGTCACAAAAATCGAAGCAGGCTACGATGCAACGAATTTCCAAAGATAGGATGCAAATTAAATGGTACAAAAGAGGAGTGGAAAGACGGACGGGGAATAATTCTGTATAAACGTCGCGCTGCAGGATCCGGTAAACCAATTTTCCTCCGATCTCGGAGGATATTTTTCTGGATGTCGGTTAGTGGTGGTGGTAGTAGTGACGGTAGTTGGTGGCGGCGCGCGTTCCCTGGTGAATGCCCTCCTCCCCCGGGCTTTGGCTGGGACCTCCGGATGAAACCCCCCTTTTGGCCGTCTCTCCGCATCCTGTTCCGCACCCCTTCCACTACTCTGTGGGAGTACTGGGTGCACAAAACGAGTGGGAAGAGGGACGAGCATGGAACTGCACGAGAGAGAGTGAATGACTGCGAGAACGCGGAGATCGATATTCGAAAGACCCCCCGGTGTCCCCCCCGAGCATCCCCCCAAACCCCGGCTGGCGGCTCCGTCTGACGCTGGCACCCCTCGGTCTACCCTCGCAGTGGCGTAGGAAGGAGGCGCGGCCGTCGCCCGGGATGGAATGGGCGCGCCGGTCTTTCCAGGACACTCGGGAGCACAAAGAGGACGAGCGCCCCCGTAAATTATCCGTTGCGCCGTCCTCTCGCGGAATTTATGCGACCTCCTCTGGAAGAGGTGTCTAGACTCTTCTGGCGATTAAGACGTGGGGTGGGCATAACCCGCGCCGATCGATCGTTGGCGATCGGTGAGTTTTACAAGTGGTTACACTGGCAACTCGACGGTATCTTTAGGGCACTTTGATGTCGACATCAACGTCGACGTCATGATTGCGACGTATAGAGACTTGTGCTTGTAAATTATTTTCTAGAAATTATAGAGACTATAATTATAACAAGATATGTTAAAAGAGATCGGGCATATAAGGATAGGCATAAGTTTCTTTGATCGTTCGATCATTAGTTATTTCTAGCTGACGCTTCTAAATATGTCAAGACTTTAGTACGTGAGTTATTTCTTCTCTTTTCCTCTCTTTCTCTTTTTGAAATTTATTGCAGTTAGTATCTCATATTTATATGTATAAATATACAAATTTAAGACGATACACACGAAAGTAAGGAAAATCGGGTCAAATATTAAATTTGCTATCAGATTTTTTGCATAAATTTAAAAAATGTTATATAACATTATAAAATAAATTATAATTATATTAAAATATTGTTATGATAATAAATTAATAACGAAGAAATGTCATTTTTAAAACATAAAATAATTATTTGTTACTGTTTAGTATACTGAAACAAGAATTTTAATTAGTATACCTACATACTGTATATGTATATATGATAATAAAAATTTAATATAATTATAATTTATTATGATATTACCTAACATTTTATGTTTTTGAATTATGCAGAAAATCTGGATATATTACAACATGTAACATAATAAATATATACAAAGAAGCATAGTATCAGTGAATTGATAACTGAGATTGGACTATTTTTTAATATGTTTCTCTGTATATATTTACTCCGTTATGTAATATATCGTGAGAAGTCTTTTAACAAAATTGCCTATTTCATGTATGTTGATAAGCAGTATATCTCCTACGCCACTGACGCACTTCGACTGACCCTTATATGCATACGTGCTATTTACCATTAGATTACACCCCTTGTCTCCCTTGTCCCTTTTCGCTTCTCCCCAATGACTCTTTCTCTCTTATTTCCTTTGTTCCACAACGGCGCTCCTTTTGCTCCACGCCATTCGTCTATCTCTTATATCTTGTAATATCGAAATGTGACGCAAACGAAACCATTTCTGTATATATCATGTATTGCATCCGATCCCTATCGATCCTTACCTTCATCCATGACGTGACTCATTAAGAAATCGTTCGTTACGACGTTCGTTAACGAGCGCCTAACGCTACAGAAACAAATAGACCCACGCATGTGTGTATAAAAAAGAAGCGATCGATAGACCTCACATATATTTGCGCTGTTGTTCATGGTCGCTGATCGTAGATGAGATCGCCGCTATGAGATAAACGCGTTCGCCGTTTACTTCGTGGACTTTTTAAACTCTCACGAGCTATTTAGTCAGCTATTTGATATTAACTTGATAACGTATAAAGATCTTATTGTTAGTTTAAATATAATAAAGGAGGCCTATTTTTTATCGTAAAGAAAGCACCAATGATTTTGTTATAATTTGTTTGGAACCGTTTTTTAATATAAAAAATGGCTTTTTTTGTAAAATGATATGTATTTTATTCGCACAATGGAATTTTATTTTGTGCAATTTTTTCAGACAGCGTTTTGCACAGTTTTAATTGACTGAATAGCAAAAGACTCGACATTCATAATATCTCGTGCGAAAAATTATTTCTCGTGACCAAATTAAGAGCGATTTGCATCACAATGAGCGACAAAATTTCAACAACGGAGAGAAAAAAATAAAAAAAAAGAGGAAGAGAAGTGTAGTTTTACTTTATCGAATGGAATATGGGATTCGCTGTATAATGAAATTTGACCGCGTTTGCATTACCGAAAAGCCATTTGCCGAGGGAACAGGCACTCCCGGCAAGCTTTTACACCCTCTGTCCAACGCTTGCGCAATTCAGTCCTTCATCAATCCCTCCATTGCATAAACCCTGACGCGTGCGTATTTATGACGACTGCTACTCACCCTCAACCCCATCTCCCTATGTCTCTCTCTCCCCTTTCTCTTTGGTTTCTCCCCTTTCCCCTTGATAATCGAGGCGATGTACGGTTGTTCAAAAGTTCGTATACACTCATGATATTAATCATGCCAGCCTCCCACGAAGATCGGCCATCGTAATGTAGCTCGATCGATCGGTCAGTGTGATGGATGCTATGCTACAGTTAACAGATACTAGCTTTTAGCTCTAAAACTGCACGCACTCTTTCGCGCTCTTCTAGTAGGTATCTTTGCTTTTCGTTTCCTTTTTTAATCCATCACTACTAACAATAGGTTCAATACTTTAGAAGTTGGCATTTATTGTCTTGGAATTCTTTCTCTCTATTTTTTTTATTTTTTACATCTTTATTCTTCTTTTTCATTCATATTTCTTTTCCATTTTCGTAAACTGATATCTCTATGTAAATTTTCATCACTCTCTTTCCAATTTCCCGTTTTTTATGGAATTTTCTCGTACCTTTCACTTATACAGTACCCCTTCTTTCCAACTTTTACTCTCACAATGGAGACGGGTGAAATATCGTCCGACAGAGACCGGTTTCTATGTCGGCCCATACTTTTCTGTAAACGGCGTAAACTATCGATTGATCTATAAATAACTGCGATCGCGTTGTTTGAATTATTTCCAGATTATTCATATACGTTTTCTGAGTAACTTAGAGATAACCATCTCTTTCCTCTCTCTTTAGCATATTAAATTACATAAAATATCCCTAGATAACATGCAACATCTATGAACGTTCTATGAATATTTGTCTATTTTTAGAATATTCTATGAACGCTCTTAGAAATTCTCTGCTGTATGGATCAGTTTCTAACATAATTTAAAACCGATCGAACCACGTTCTGTGTCAAATATCCAAATTAAGACTCTGTAATTCTAGAAATATCACTAGGTTTATTGATTTATAAGAACGTGATTAAAGATCATTTCGGAATGGTTTTAAATTGAACCAGTCGGTGGAACATCCGTGTAACTGCATCTACTCGTGCAATGACCGACGCGAGGGTGGTAGCTTCCTCCCGGGACGATCGTTTTAATCAATAGGACTCTCATCTCCCCCTCCTAGGCAAGCATCATTTATCACGAGAATATCTCGTGCGCATAATGACTGAAAAAATCTGTCCATAGCTGCGCTGCGATGCGCGTTCGATGTTTGGAAATACGTACATTGGGGCAACGCACACAGAACCAATCTACCAACCAACCAACCAAACAACCTCCAGCGGTCGGTATATGGAGAATACAGGCTGACGATCACGCTTGCGCAAATTTCCACCCCTTTCCCGTCACCGTCGACTCCACACTATCACCCTTCTCCTCTCCCGGAGCTCTTCCGCCTTCGCATCCCTTCCGACCTCTTCTCCCGCGTTGCTCTCGGCCTCTCCTTCACCTTTCACCGACGACGACAGCGTCTGCGTGTATCGGCGCCAATCTCCCTCGACCGAGGGTTTTTCGCGATTCTTTTCGCCCCGAGTCTATCCCACCCCCGAGACGACCCCAGACGGTGGGGGCGGCGGCGGCAAGCGTTCGGAGGGTGCAGCCGTCGGTATTGGGACTCAACCTCGTCAGTTTAGTTACCGCACCACATAAAGGCATTGCGTTGTAGACACCGTTATACCCGCAACATTCTTACTATTTGCTTGCATATTTCCTAATTTCTGACCCTTCAATTCGGCATAAAAAAAAGAAAAAGGAAAACACTCGGTTCGGTATCGTTCGTCGTCAAAAAAGAACAGTCGTCGCCGTTGCTCTCATCGTCGTCGTCGTCGTCATTGTCGTCGTTCTTTAACGGTTTTCAGTTTGTTGCTGTTGCTTTGTCCCGTCCACGTGTCGATTGAGTGACATTGTCGTTCGCCGTTCGGGTGACACTGTCACAAGAAAACTCGCGCGCAGAGAAAGTTATAGAACAGCGAAAGGTGAATCTCGCGAATATCGCACGGGAAGATAAGTTTGCCGGGCGGAATCGGTCAAAAGATAAAGCAGAGAAACGACCCTTCCGCATTCTTTCGATCTTATAATTTTGATGGAACCTTAATCCTATGTTCTCCGTTAATTCGTAACTCCTGACTTGTCTTGCTTCAAGAAGCATCTTAAATTCTTGATGTCCTAATCATTTGTCCTTCTCGATCAACAATCCCTCTGATCGATTTAACGCGTCACAATAATAATTCGGAAACACGAATCGACGCATAATACGGTGCATAATCTTTTCATCACATGATTTTGAGAGCGAGATAGAAAACGAAATCAGCGAACGAGAGTTGAGCGCGTTAACGAGGAACCGGTAGCGTGATCAACGAGATCGTCAGCTGGAAGATCCTTTAATCGGCAGAAGAGGCACCAGCAAAGACAAAACGAAAGAGAGAGAGAGAGAGAGGGAAAGAAAGAGATAGAAGGACATAAATAGGAGTGCGTCCTGCTGGTCGGGGGTGGGAGTGAAAGAGAGACACTGGGTGTGTTCGTCGCGCGCGAGATTTGTTTATCTCCTATCGCAAGTTATAGTTATCAAAGTGTTCACTAATAATCCGGCAGTCGAGTTCACGTTCTCGATGGAATTCGATGCCAGGACTCGTGTTCGATGATCGAAAACCGGCCTCCACGTTGATCGCGCGATCGTCGGTTCGAATGTTCCAAGTCGCGTCGTAAAGTTTGTTGAGAAATTTGTTGAAAGAAAAAAAAATAAGAGAAAACTAGTACAAAGATACGGGGAAACGCAGCCGCGAAAATACGTACGAAATATCGCGTAATAGAGAAATAAAAGTAATTAAGTAGAACCCACCGTCGTTCCGTTCTGCGCCCAGTATCGGCATCCTCCAACCACTGATTTTCATCGTTAACCGGTATGTTCATTTGTTTCTTTACTTTCGTTGTTTCTGTGATTCTCACGAATCTTTATCATTATTGTTATTATTATCTTGTTATTATTGTTGTTATTATTACCGTTATGATTATTAACTATTTACTAGCGGATCTGTGTACGTCGATCGTACGCCGATCGGCTACCGATCTTTACGTATACGTTCGTCCTCCGTGCCGGGGATTTCTCTCGTGCGAGGAATCTTCCGGTATCACATTTAGGTTATCCTTTTAAGTCCAAGAATTTCCTATGGTGCTTCCGCTGTGCAGGTGCCATCGCTGTTCTCAATTTAATCTTAAACAGATGCATTTATTGCCACATACGTAATCTTTCATAATGTGCCATACATATTACTCTCTAAATTCTTTGGAGTGAAATCTCACTCTAAAGGGTGAAAATTGAACCAGTCTTAGAAAAGAGTGGCTCTCAATTTTCAATCTTCAGAGTGACAATTCACTAAAAGTTTTAAAGAATACGACTGTTTAATTTTAATCATCAATTATCTAAGAAATTATAGAAAAAATAAAAGTAAAGATTTATAGAAAATTTCGATTATTGAAAATTACAGTTACTGATTTCCATCAAATATGCAACGCGTTGCGCAAGGTGTCGTCCTCAAGCTCTGACTTTGTACGGTAAGAACCTCATTGTAAAAAGCAATTGCGTGATTCCATGCGAGAGATGCATTCGGAAGGGTAAAACGCTATAGCCGCGGCGGAGCTCATTAACCCGGCGAAGTTGTTACATTTAACGTCAGTCCGCCATAATCGCGAACGGTTGCGTTCAGCAGCTGACGCTTACGCACGGTGCGATATTGTGTGCACCAGA